CAACCAGGGACATTCCCACCACTAACGCTGCATCAACCAGGGACATTCCCACCACTAACGCTGCATCAACCGGGGACATTCCCACCACTAACGCTGCATCAACCAGGGACATTCCCGCCACTAACGCTGCATCAACCGGGGACATTCCCGCCACTAACGCTGCATCAACCAGGGACATTCCCGCCACTAACGCTGCATCAACCAGGGACATTCCCGCCACTAACGCTGCATCAACCGGGGACATTCCCACCACTAACGCTGCATCAACCGGGGACATTCCCGCCACTAACGCTGCATCAACCAGGGACATTCCCGCCACTAACGCTGCATCAACCGGGGACATTCCCGCCACTAACGCTGCATCAACCAGGGACATTCCCACCACTAACGCTGCATCAACCAGGGACATTCCCGCCACTAACGCTGCATCAACCAGGGACATTCCCGCCACTAACGCTGCATCAACCAGGGACATTCCCGCCACTAACGCTGCATCAACCAGGGACATTCCCACCACTAACGCTGCATCAACCAGGGACATTCCCGCCACTAACGCTGCATCAACCGGGACATTCCCGCCACTAACGCTGCATCAACCAGGGACATTCCCGCCACTAACGCTGCATCAACCGGGGACATTCCCGCCACTAACGCTGCATCAACCGGGGACATTCCCGCCACTAACGCTGCATCAACCAGGGACATTCCCACCACTAACGCCGCATCAACCAGGGACATTCCCACCACTAACGCTGCATCAACCAGGGACATTCCCACCACTAACGCCGCATCAACCAGGGACATTCCCACCACTAACGCTGCATCAACCAGGGACATTCCCACCACTAACACCGCATCAACCAGGGACATTCCCACCACTAACGCCGCATCAACCAGGGACATTCCCACCACTAACGCCGCATCAACCAGGGACATTCCCACCACTAACGCCGCATCAACCAGGGACATTCCCACCACTAACGCTGCATCAACCAGGGAAATTCCCACCACTAACACCGCATCAACCAGGGACATTCCCACCACTAACGCCGCATCAACCAGGGACATTCCCACCACTAACGCCGCATCAACCAGGGACATTCCCACCACTAACACCGCATCAACCAGGGACATTCCCACCACTAACGCCGCATCAACCAGGGACATTCCCACCACTAACCCCGCATCAACCAGGGACATTCCCACCACTAACGCCGCATCAACCAGGGACATTCCCACCACTAACGCTGCATCAACCAGGGACATTCCCACCACTAACACCGCATCAACCAGGGACATTCCCACCACTAACGCCGCATCAACCAGGGACATTCCCACCACTAACGCCGCATCAACCAGGACATTCCCACCACTAACACCGCATCAACCAGGGACATTCCCACCACTAACGCCGCATCAACCAGGGACATTCCCACCACTAACACCGCATCAACCAGGGACATTCCCACCACTAACGCCGCATCAACCAGGGACATTCCCACCACTAACACCGCATCAACCAGGGACATTCCCACCACTAACGCCGCATCAACCAGGACATTCCCACCACTAACACCGCATCAACCAGGGACATTCCCACCACTAACGCCGCATCAACCAGGGACATTCCCACCACTAACGCCGCATCAACCAGGGACATTCCCACCACTAACGCCGCATCAACCAGGGACATTCCCACCACTAACGCTGCATCAACCAGGGACATTCCCACCACTAACACCGCATCAACCAGGGACATTCCCACCACTAACGCTGCATCAACCAGGGACATTCCCGCCACTAACACCGCATCAACCAGGGACATTCCCACCACTAACGCTGCATCAACCAGGGACATTCCCACCACTAACGCTGCATCAACCAGGGACATTCCCACCACAAACGCCACAGAAGAAGAAGCCACAAACCCGGTACTAAATTACTAGTTTGACGACGCCCCCTGATGGGTCGGCAACGACTTCATCGCGGGGTTTACAGGGGTCGTCCACGACCTAACAAGCTTGACCCTGTCGGCCCCTGCCAACATCTCGGCCTTGCCACCTCCCCTCGTCATAACCCGTCGCGTATATAAGGCGTAATGAACAGTTTGACGCCGTTTGACGCCGGTTAACGCATTCCCTCCACCTTTTTACACACTCTTCCAGGCAAATATTATCTGGCGTTGAGGCGATAGTACACGCCGGAACACGTCGCGTGGTGCTGTATTATACACGCTGGGTTCCTTATTGTAGCTATTGTAGCACGGTGGTGGTCGTGGTAGGACTTACATATTACCAATCACCTAGCGGTGACTCCGGTGAGGGAGTGAAGTCTAGCTCTGCATGTCCTGCCTATTGGTCCTGTTGTACCTCTTGCTTTATTGCTTAACTATTTTGACTTTTAGATTGTCGAGTCTGGTCTTAAAGTTGTGGCTGGAGGTGGCTTCTATAACTTCAGCTTTCAGGATATTCCACTTGTTGACCGCCAGTACATGGTACCA